GTCCAGTAGTATCGGTATTTGAAGACATTATGTTTGAAGTACTTCAAGAAATAGAATCGCTGTCATGCTTTGAGATTGATACGATTATTATATGTCTACTTTAAAGTATGGGACGGCCATAGAATTGTTTGGTTGTTGTTTTACACCATAGTTGAAATGTAACCAACCAAGCTGCCAAGCCTAACCAATCAATGCAGTTTATCCCCTCTCCATTCGTCACCACTCGCCCCTTTGCGTAACCTGCAAGAAGACTCGTCCTCCTATCGATGAATGTTATGTGCGAAAATACGACAAACCAATCAGAATGCGCGTATGATTTCAAGTTGTTCATCAAAGAATCCCTCAGTTATAATTTTTGATTTTACAGATGTCTTGCATCTAAAAATATACCCAAGACACAGTTAAATGTGTACATACTGTATATTTCCGCATGTCCAGATGTGCTTTAAATTGCATCTGAAATATATATTATCTGGGGAAATGAATGTGAACCATTACACAACGAATTGACAATTGTTTTAGGTATGCCCGTTTGCGCTAAGATGGAACCCGGTCGCAAAAATGGCCATGAGAGGGGCACGAGTGGCTATTCGGCTTGTCCCGGAATAACACGAGTTGGTCACTAATGATCCCCTCTCCTGACAAGCAATTGAGAGGGACCAATTCTAACCCGAATTGGTTGAAGAATAAGTTTTCATTCTGAAAGGGGATGAATTTTAAAGGGCCAAATAAGCTTGTTATTCCTCCAATTTTGAACCTGACAATCTGTCATGTAACCATAAGTATGCCAATATGATGTCAAGCTAGTCTAGATGGGTATGGTAGATGTACTGGATGATGACTTCTTCAAGGTGTGTTATGAGGCGAGATGTACTAACAGGATTGCAGTAGAATTAATTTCGCCCTTATTTTCAATAGGTAACACATGTTTAAACATGTCATCACCTGTTCCACATGTACAATGTGTATGTGCATTATTTTCACTGTCATAACACTGACTGTGTATAACATACACCATCAGCAGTAGAAAGGATTATCATAATATGTTTTTTACAGTCACAATCATAATATGAGTTGTGTTTGGCCATGGTATGTGTAATATTTCTTCCTCGTTGCTGTACTGTAGTCATCATTCTTGCCTTGGGGAGAGTTTTTAAAGGATTTCAATGTTGTTAGACACACATTTATTATGGCCACGTGCACAATGAATAGCTGTCCCAAGGTGGAGAACAATGACTAACCCTATTACTACTTCCTTGTTTACAAATGGTTTAGCTTTCCTATTATTTCCCTCACATTTGGGATTGGTTGAAGCTTTCAGATGAAAAATCATCGCATTAGTGTGTAAGTGAGTGGGTAATATTGGTTTTATGTCACTATTAACAATTCCAGCAATATCAGGACAGGGGACACCAGAAATGGGCATTGTACCCATGAAGGCATTCAAAGTTGGGTCTTCAGCATGTCGAGCAAATGCCTTACCACTAGGCTACCCCACCGTGTCCCTCATTACATAAGTGGTAAATGTTGTCATAGTTAATTTTTCCTTTGGTTTCAGATTTGATCATTGTAACAATGTTATGGATCCAGGTTTATCACTACTCACATCCTAATGATAATCAGTGTTCCAAATTTAACATGTAAGTAAAGGGTTCCCTGTCTTAACCCTATGTTAAAATCAAAAGGTTTGAGGTCTCCCTAGATTCAAATACTTTAGCAGCAAACCTCAAGGACCCCAGGTCCCCCTCTATTTTGAATAACAAGTCTTCCACTACATGTTGCACCCAAACTGACTTGGTCTACCTGATCACTGTTTTATTTATATTTTCTAGATTCAGAGAGGTACATAAGAGGAAACATACTTTCACATGACATTGCTTTGAGCTTCTCACAAAAATGACTTGACTAGAATCAACCTATTTTACTCCAGAGAGACATATCCTGTATGAAACAGGAGGTAGAAGGCTGTGCTTTCTTAATATTGTCCATTCCTGAACATGGTCTAATGTTTCTAGTCCCAATGTGCACCTAAACCTTGTGAGTCTTCTTGGACTTGTTTGCAAGCATCGCCTTCGGTAGTTTAGAGTAAACATAAGGCTAAGCTTGCACAACTGAATGAGATTGTGCAGGACAGGGGATTTGGACTATCGGGTAGTAGCCAAGTCTGAGACCTCAGTACTGGGTCCCGTTGTACAAAACAACCTTAGCGCTACGACTGTCTTAAGTCAATGTTAAGGTATGGGAGTTACGATTACCTTAGCGCTAAGATCTCTTTGTACAATAGCACCCTGGTCATTGCTTATCTTTGTTAATGTAGCCCAGCATAATAAGACTTTGATACGAATATGATTGATGTATTATCAGTGGTGATGTTGTCAGGTTTATGTTAGGGATGTAATGTGGATGTGTAGATACGAGTAGACAGTTCCTGTAGCTGTTCCTCTTTAGTCAGCATATCCTGGTAGATCAACCTGGGAACTATATTTGATAGTAATATGGGAAATAACACAAAGACAAAGAGTATGGGACAGTACATGAAAGAACACTTAGTGAATCCTGGTACCAAATGGTAGTGGTGCACAGGAAACTAGTGCTCACATGTTTTCAGTACTATAAATGACCACAGATAAGCCAACCCCGTACATAAGCCGAGGTAATAACTTGACCCTTGAAATATGAAAGAACATGATATGACCCAATGAGCCGAACCAGGAAGTGAAAGGCAACGACACACTGCGAAGTCGGACTGCAAGACTATACCGGTACTTGCAGATACTTGCAGGCATAATAGTTTGAACATTGAGGGTTGTGTAATCAGGTTCATCCTGATGTATCACCAGCTACTGAGGGAGACAGAGAAGTCTTCGCTCTGCATATGCAAGGGGCCTTGGTGACCTGGTTGTCTATGGTGCCATTAGCTGTGCCAGGATCTGCTGATCATGGGTTTAAATCCCAAATTTGCCCTGAATATGATCCTTGGTCTGTCAGAACAATACCTGACTCAGGAGCTTTCCACATAGTGGTTTATGTCGAAAATCTGCGCAATTGTGAGCCTTTCTCACACATTAAGTTGACACATATTAATAAACTGAACTGAATCCAAACTAGCTCACTTCACTTCATGCATGTAAAGATGAATAGATATTAATTTGGATACACCCACATATTGAATATAAATTCATAATGAATAATTAATTTCTTGTCGGACATAAATAGTGTGTGATGCAGGGAATACACTGTTATCTTGGGGAAGACTGGCTCTCCTCAGCAACAAGATATAGACTCCGCTGTATTAGTTCCTTGTTGCTTGTCAGGCTAAAACAAACAAGCCGGTTGGTTGTCAGACACCACCAACATCAGCAAATCACTTCTACAGAAATTCTGTCTGACTTAGCAATGAAAAAATGACAGATGGTCATGGTATGGACAATCATCCATCTATCAACATTGGGTATTTTTAGTTGAGGGACTTTCATGGAATAGTGGTTAAAGCATTCTCTCATCACACCAACAGTAACCTTGATATTCCTGGAATATTGCTAAAATTGACTCCAACTCATTCACTCCAAGTTGTCATTTTCACCACCTCATTGGTACCGTCAAATTTGTGGATGGTTTGGTAGCTATGTGGTTAGTGTTCATTTGTCAAGCTAAAGACATGAATTTGATTTCAAACCTTAGTACTAGTAGAAATTGATAAAACCCATCCTGGTGTTCCCCACCATTCACTGACTCAATCATTTTGAGGTAAGGTTACAAATGAGTCATTTAGAGGAATAGTTAATGATAGTCTATCTGCAACTTATTCCTTTCATCATATATCATATCATGCCATTTTTCATATATATATTGGGGCGGTCGGGTAGCCTAATGGTTAAAGCGTTCGCTCATCACGCCGAAGACCCGGGTTCGATTCCCGACATGGGTACAATGTGTGAAGCCCATTTCTGGTGTCCCTTGCCATGATATTGCTGGAATATTGCTAAAAGCGGCGTAAAACCATACTCACTCACTAACTCACTCATATATATATATTATTTTCCAAGTTTGAGAATTCACACTGTATTGGATAAAGCAAAAGTAAGTTCCCTATCAATACACAGCCGTGAAGCTATTGTACTTTTTGTGATGATTTGGACAATAAATTCAGATGTATCATGCAAGATCAGCAGAAATGGCAGCGATCTGTCCAATGGAAGAGCAATTCTCTTCACTACCAAGAGATACTTCTGAATTCTATAGATTATCTATGGTCAGGATGCGTTGTGCACACTGCCAGGGATGGTTTGAGGACCCATGATGTGGACATGAATTCAGTGTAGCAAAGATTAAATCTTGACCATGGCCATTTATAACACTGGATTACCTACATGGAATCCATACAGACACCTCTGTGGTAGACAGGTTGAATTGGCAGAGACATGGTCAGTGTTGATTCAGTTAACGGCTGGAAGTCAGTGGATATGAGTGTGTCTGGAATGAAGATGAATCTTGGAGAGAAGAACTTTGTCCACTTCCTGATTGTGAGCTAAGGACATTGATCAGCTGAACATTTAAGAACATCCTCTATTCTTTCTCATGTCGAAGCTGCTTTTTAATGATATGGTTACATTCCAATGCTAGGCATCTTGGTATGAAAGAAAATTAGAAAGATAATGTAAATTAGTTGAAGGGTCTGGGTCAGAATTTGGAAAATTTAGTACTTAGAATCAATCTTAGACTTGTTAAAGTCCATTTCTGTTTTTTAGTATTTAGTCTGAGAAAGTGATGAGGTCAGAGATCAGTGACCCATTTAACATGTTTAAAGAAGCCTGAATGAAACCTTGCAATTTGAAGGAACTTGGCATAGGAGGTTCAGTTCAATCATTGTTGTCTTTGTGGATAATGATTTCAATGTGCAGGGTGTGTTTTCTGAATATTGATATTTTAGTTATTTTGTGATAATGAAAGTCTACATTGTACCATGACCCCCCAATAACATGTATGGGTTGCCTTCCTAGTTTCAGATGGAGCATCACAGTATGAACGTGGAGGTATGTTTGTAGACCACACCAGGCACTATATAGATTTGGCTGCTTTGAAATGCTTTCGTTATGTTTGATGTTTACCATAACAGAAAAACCCAAGTCGCTTACTATACAGGGATAGAACTGAATACCAATGCATCAAGAAAATTACAAATTCTTCTCAAAGAAGGTTCCACTGACTTGGATGATAGGTTCTATCCCTGGGATAACTAGACCTTTATAATAGATGGAGTGATTGTGATTCCTGACCTGAATCACGATTTCACGCATGTAAAAGATATGTATCCCAAACCTCCTGAACTAATCCTGCAGTTTTATGTCATCTACCCTATGAAGATCCAGATTAGAATTGGTCTTCAGCAACTCATACGCAGGATCAGGTGGTCAGACTTGGTTGATGCATGCCACCGTATCCCAATTGTATAGATCAATCATGTCAATCACTGGATTGTCTGGACCAGATTTATTTACAGACTGCTGTCATATGGCTGGAAGATTGCTGAGTGAGGCATTAAAAGACAAACAAAGTTTGTGTTCTTTCGCAACAAGGAATTCCATTCAACTTGATGAGATAGATATCACTTTAAAGAGGATATTTATATGCACTGTTCTTGTTTGGGAACCCATGTTTACATGGTTAGGAAACTGGTAGGAAGCGGGATTACCTGTGCAGAAAGTAAACTGTCTTGTACCTTATGTTTGGTGAGGGATGTATCTGGACCTGCTCAGAGGCTGATATTTGGCCCCAAGTCAACAGCAAATGCATTAAAAATCCTGATTTGAAATTTTTAAAATCACAATTAATTTTACAATGTATTAATATATAGAACTAATTAACTAATTTTATAGCTTTGTAGAAGTAACCTGTATTCACTTATAACAAGAACAATAAGGACACCCTTTTTTAATTTCACGGATTTATTCCAGCTTTTCCTCTCAAGGTTGATGGAAATAAAATGAAAGTAAATAGCTATGTCAATCATTTATTTATTTATATGAAAGTCATTCTGCCATGAAGTAAAAACTGCAACTGGCTTCTTGAATCGCTGATAGTGATGTTGACATGGAATTTATATCCTAACATTTTATATTGTGTAAGGAAAAAAATATGTGGCCCAAATAGTAACTGGTTTAAATTATTCATTTCATATTATTGCATTAAATGCAATCTCAAAATATGTCCCAATTTTTAACGAAATATCTTTTTTTTTCTCAATTTGCTTGCCAGGGGCATTTCGTTGATAAATCCCCGGGGGGTGTAACAGGAAGGTGTTACAGTATGTATCATGATACTCAGCTGTCATTTTAGATTTACAAGGCAGCTTCATGATACACAGCTTTGCTTGTTGGTAGAATAGGATAAAAACATCCAATAGTAAATGGTACATACTGTGCTTCATGTTGAACGCCCTGTATCGTTGCACCCCAAATGTTGATCTCCTGGCCCTGGTCAAATGATATGGTTACCTCACTTGCCTTTATCTGCACTGGTAGTTTAGTATGCATGTGGGTTGAACATGGGATATGTTGTTTCTGTGTCAATCGTTATCATTTTCAATATGAATTTCACAAATAAATAATTGATATTTCACATTTAACCCATGGCATGTCCCTATTTATATCTGTATGAATTTCCTTCATGTCATATATACTGCTCAAAAGAAGTTAAAGAACACCTGATTCTTTCATATTACTTAAGTTACCGTATTCGATGTAATAAGCGCCCAGGGCGCTCTCAAAATTAGAAATAGTGGGCTCTTATTAGAATATTATTTTGGTGGAAAAAAAGAAGTTGAAAGGTAAATTTCGTGGTTTATGCTGACGGCCTGAAATGTTTATCTACGAGAGAGATATTTTTCCAGAATTTAATTGCCCATAATTAAGGGTGCATATAACACACAAGTGCGTATTATACGCGAATAAATAAGTCTTGTGTACATTGATCAATCGGAAGGGGTGCTAATTGGGATTGTTCACTAGCCAATATAATAGCTAATATCGCTTATTAGAGCAGGGCGCTTATTACGTCAAATACGGTAATCTGTCCTGACCAGAATCAGATGTTCTTTGACTTCTTTTGAGTAGTATAGAAAGTTCAAAGTTCAACCCTGCATGATTATGTTATTGACTAATGACCCAGCATAATTAGATGTAGATGCCTCCAGCTAAAAAATGATTCATTCAGAAATCCATTGTATTATTCCTCCATAGTATGTTTACTAATACATGACGGGTATGAAACATTTCAGGATTAACACTATTCCCCCAACTGAAGCATATTGGAAGCCATTCCTACTAATGCTACTTCAAACTTTGTGGAACAGCATTTGAGAGAACCATCGATTGTTTGTAAAACATGGCATAAGGATCGTGTTGGTATAATGACAGGCTACAGTTTAATGTTGCAGATCCACTGTGAATGAGACCCATGTTGCAGTAGATACAGCACTTAGTCCAGTGTACACAGAACTGTACACTCAATAACCTTTCAAACACCGGGAGGATTTGTCATAAAGTTTCAGATCATGGATATATTGGCTCATGTGTTTCAGTTTCCGAAACCATCTTATGTCAAAACATCTCATCCATCATAAACTGTTAACAATCTTAGCTTACCAGAACCTAATGAAGCTGATGTGAGGTTTTAGGATGGATCATTTTCCAGGGTCAATAAGTCCCTCAAGAATTGTTATCTTTAAAACAGAATATTGATCTGATTTTTATCATTGCTGCAACACAATTTCAACCATCATATGAAACAATTGTTTTGGTGACATGAAACTTAATGTTGTGTAGAAACATTTGTTGTTCATATTGTTATGTTAGATTTATTATATAGGAAATATATTTATAATATAAAGATGAGGTGAGCTACAGTGCATCTATTTTCAGATAGATGGTTTTGTTTATGTTTGGCAAACATTCACAAAAATATCCATCAAATCATTATTGATATATATGCAACATGAGTTTCAGTTTTGTGTTCAGGTTTTGTTATTCAATATTTGTGCTCTGCTCTTTGTTTGTTATACTTGAAAAAAAACAAAGGGCAAAAATATTGACCCACTCTCTCCTTGTTTAAAACCTGGATATATAATAGATGCTTATAAAGTTCAGTATTATTCTTATTGCTCTAAATATGTGGAAAGGGAGGATTCTTTGGAATCGATGTCAGTAAAAATGGGGTTATTGTTGAGTACCTTGGATAGCTAAACAGGGGACATCAATTTCCTTGAGAAAATTTGTATAATGGATGCCATAAAAACTACCCTAGAAATCAATTTTTATGATCACATATGTATGGATCCCTAGTACTTATTATTGTGGGCACAGGTGGCCAAGTCATATAAGGGAGAACAATTCACTGTGCAGTGTGGCGTCCCTTAGGCATGCCTGAAACTACAATCATGGATTTGAATGCCAGATTCATCCTGGTTGTGTTTGTAGGTTTGTCAGCACCATACCCACTCACATTGGTCATGGTTTGAGTGAGTGAGTGAGTTTGGGTTTACGCCCTTTAAGCAATATTTCAGCAATATCACAGTGGGGGACACCGGAAAATGGGCTTCACACATTGTACCCATGTAGGGAAGCGAACTCGGGTCTTAGGTGTGACAAGCCAACGCTTTAACCACTGGGCAACCCCACTGCTATCATGGTTTAAGACATATCACTTTGGACTCACTGTGATAAAACTTAAATGCAGGGAGGAATTAAACCCAACTCACTCAGTACTGCGAGAGCTGACTTAAATATGGAGTAGGTGGTTACATGATTATTCAGGACAGATTTTCGAGACTAAAGTCATGGTAATATGTGAAGATGAGGTGCAAATAAATTGCAACTGGATGGAGTGATTGTCCATTACAAAGAAAAATATCAAATACAAAAAATAATATTTTGATTCAGCTTGCTATTTTGAAATGCTTGCTGCTTAAAGGCTGCATTATTTTGCTGATGAAGCCTTAATTTCAACAAAGGTACTAACAAACATTAGAATATGTAGGCTTGGTAGTCACATTGGGTTGAAATGAGCATATGTTCAACAACACTGTCGACCCGTGAAGATCCGGGGTAGAATAGGTCCTCAGCAACCCATGCTTGCCGTAAAAGGCGACTATGCTTGTCGTAAAAGGCGACTAACGGGATCGGGTGGTCAGGCTCGCTGACTTGGTTGATGCATGTCATCGATCCCAATTGCATGGATTGATGTTCATGATGTAAATCACTGGATTGTCTGGTCCAGACCGCCGTCATATAGCTGGAATATTGCTGAGTGTGGCGCTAAACAACAAACCAACCAACCAACCAACCAACAACACTGTCACATCATTCTAGATCCTTGTGTAAATAGCACTTGTCGGAGTGACCTCCAGGAAAGACTGTCTGGTGTCACCTGGCTGATTACATTCATTATAGTGTAGCCTGGTTTTCTGTGTAATCATGGCAATAGCTCATTTAACTACTGATTTGTCTCGGGCAGGGTTAAGTAACTGACAGCTCACAAGGAGATAACTATGATGATGCTTGTCAGAGTCAATATGGCGACGAATAAATTACGAAATAAGGTACTTTGGAAGAAGGTCAGGAAAGAGTTACAGATTGTGATGTCACATTGCAGAAGAGCCAACATCACCTTCAGGTCGTAGAATAAGTATGCCTTACTTTGACGTGAGTCACTCCCCAGTGCCACCATCTGCCATGGCCATGAGGATCGGTGGTAGTCTGAAGCGTAAGTAGCAGTTATGGTGTCCGTCTTGGGCCCTCAGTTTCTGGCAGACTACTTGACCAGCCTTGTTCTTTTAGGACAAGTCTGGTGACCTTCTTTAGCCTTGGCCACTGCAGCCACTAGATGCAATTTCTTGTATCTTTCTGAGCTCAGCCTTCACAAAAATATTTCAGCGGTTTCTCAACTTGGATGACCAATAAATGAACGTCAGTATATTTTCAACCTTCAGATGACAGTTGTGATAATGTATTATGTAATGACAACTCTGTACCATTTGTACCATTTTCTTGTATCATGTTCCAACTCAACATTCACAAAATCAATTTGGCAGATTCCAGGTGACTGACTGACCAATAAATGAAACTCCATGATTATAGTTCAAACTTCATTTGCATTAAACTCTTCTGCATCAGTCCCACTATTTCCTGTATTTTTCTGAAGTCAACTATCATAAAATCATTTTGTCAATATTTCTGACAACAAAATGGTTCTTGAAAGCTATTTCTATCATTATTTCAAAGGATAAATTATTATTTTGATTTTATTTTTCTGCATCTGCTTACACTGTCAACTTCTAGGACCTACATTTTCTTGCTGTAGGTATGGAAACCAGACCTTTCCCTCTTCTTAGCTGGTTCACATCTTGTGCTTCAAATTCCAGTGGCTTACAATGGCTTATTTTGAGCCAGTCACAGTTTTTCTGAACAAGTGTCTGACAACTTTGCTTAGCTTGCTGATGTCCACAACCCACTGCCTCATAGTGAGACTTCGGGTTCAAGCTAGTTGATGGCTGGTGGCAGTCACTATTGATGGTGTAGAGAGCTGTCAGCTTTGCTTAGATCCATCAACCAGACTCTGTTCCATCTGCAAACACCCACCACTTCATGCTGATACCATGCTGCTTCGACTCCTTTGTTCAATCCGGAGATATTCTTTGCTTAAATCAGCACAGTATTGTCAAAGACAGGAATAAAAGTGCCTTGTGGCGGAACTCAATCGGAGACAATAGGGGAATAACCATCCCACCTTAGGAAACAGGATTTAATTACACCCGCTGAGAGGCTTATTGCACTTCCATAGTAAAGATGTATATGTTTCATTGTCAACTTGAAACTGTTTTTCTTTGTTGGATAAAAGGGTAACATGAGATGCTAAGCAGTTTACATACTCTGAAGGCCATTAAACATGTTATTGATGGACAGCTTCAGGTTTCTGTATTATATGAGGCAGCATTTGTGTTCTTTCAAATGTTGTATAAACTCCTGTGTCCTGTTGCATGTTTTGATATGAAACCAGCCTCCAAGCAGCATGAATTTTCATTTCACTCAAGAATGTTTTTGAATTGACTAACCACTTGAATACAATGAAACTAATCCAATGTCAAGCATGTCCTTTGAATCATGACAGTATTAGAATAAAGATGATGTTTGTCTCGATGATGTTGATTTATTGGATACTTTGATGCTTTAGCAATTCATATGATTCATTAAGTGTTTTTATCATCAGCTTTGTACATGGAACTGCATGCTTATCATTATTCCAATCAGTTCTCCATTATTTCATACTGCCTGCTTTGTTTTTCAGTGAACAAAACCAAAATTCAGTTTTCATATCAATCTTCTCAATTTCGTTGGTAATTGTCTTGCATTGTGTTCTACAAAATCATTATACCAGCATCACTTTATGTTTCTCCTTTCAGGCACTTGTATTGTATGCTGCCAGTGTTGGTCTACCAGGCCAGCCTCACTGCTCCTACCTGATGTATAATTCTTGTTGGGTGTGCTTCATTACAGGTATTTACCACAAGCCAGCACCAGTTACGCCAGCCCCAGCTCCTCCAGCGCAGCCACAGCAGCAGATCTACAGCCAGATTGGCAACCAAAATGGGCCACCAGATATGGAAAATGAGAGGTAAGTACCAAATAATAAAATTAGCATGAATCACAACATGGCAGTCATCCATGCCGACACTGTCAACCACATGCTGTTTCAGATTTGTTTATTCTTTGGTGATATCAAACAGTGGGACTTTGTCCTCTGTGGTATTTTAGTAGCTGTAGCATCAATGAAGACAGAGTTGACATGGAATTCTTCATGTATATTCTTAAATGCAATGTTTCAAGTAAGCTCTGTTGCCAGTATAACTTTGGCCTAAAAACCTATTATTTTGCTTCTTTATGATAGAACCTCGTTTGATGTGTCCTTTGTGCCCCGTGAAGATCCGGGTTAGAATAGGTTTTCAGCAACCCATGCTTGTCGTAAGAGGTGACTGACAGGATCGGGTGGTCAGGCTCACTGACTTGGTTGATGCATGTCATTGATCCCAATTGTGTGGATCGATGCTCACGATATCAATCACTGGATTGTCTGGTCCAGACTCGATTATTTACAGACCGCCGTCATATAGCTTGAATATTGCTGAGTGCGGCATTGAACAACAAACAAACAAACAAATGATGTGTCTTTTACAAATTATTTATACCACTCGATAGAAGTTTAAGATCACTTGATTCTTTCATATTACTTATATTTTATCTGTTATGCCAAGTCAGATTAACTATAGTACCGTATTTTCTTGAGTATAGTGCGCACTTTTTTTCGAAAAAACACAGCTCTGTAGAAGGGGGTGCGCATTATACACGAATTATGAGTTTGGATGTTTTTTTCCCCCATGGAAAGACATTACCGTGAGCACAAAACACCGGGAATACCATGTCAACAAATCCATACTGAAGTACGCAAAATAATTATGTAATTACACTGTCTGGCTATAAAAAAGTGTTCTTTGTATATCTGGACTTATGTTTGTAACTTAATTCATTGATTTTATTCAAAATTCCTTATGATATTGTTTTTATTAATTTCGGCGAAATCGTGTGTGAAGCGATCGGAAGATCGCACAACTCACCGTTATTAACAGCAACCACGGTCAGAATACCGCTATTGACGCCTTGAAACAAACTTTAGTTGACAGAGAATGGATACATATATCATAAATGACATACTTTGACTCGTTAAAAGTCATATTTGTTTTTGTTTGACGATTCTATGTCAACATAAAATTCTCGCGATCACGTGATCACGTGCGCGTGAGCCTTGACGGTGACTGGTCAGACATGTTCCATGTAAAAAATAATACCCGGGAATAGCGATCAGCTGCTTCGCTTAGGGTTATTATTATTTTAAATATGTTTAGTAAAGGTTGCATATAATTAAGAAAAAAATGGAATATATTATTCCTGATAAATAAAATAGTTCGTCTGCCGGACTTCGCTGAAAGGGTACGGTGTAAAAAATTTCTGCGCATATTCAAATTTCTTTTTTTCCAAAATATTGAACCCGCTAGAGGTGGGGTGCGCATTATACATGGGTGCGCACTATACTCAAGAAAATACGGTACATGTAATATTAAAGAATTGGATGGTCCTTAACTTCTTTTGAGTGGTATATATGGCACTAATGTTTATCGGTTTGCTTGTTCCTGCAAAAACTTGAATAACTGTTTTAACATGTTTGGAATGGTCTTGTTTCTGGCTCAGATATGAAACAAATGTCTCTCACTCCAATGGGGAATTAAGTTAGTGTTTAGATACAGGCAGTCAAATGGTTTCACTTCATTGCTCAAACTTCCAATTTCACCCATATTATGAATTTTAGATTGTCAACACCATTGTGGGTTCAAAGTGATTAAAAAAAATAAAATCTGTGCATCATGTTGGGCTGTCCTTCCACGCTGTGATGTAACTGAAATGCTTTTAGCACATGTCAAAGCATCATGAAACCCATCTTAGTCATACTATGTGTTCTGTGCAGCATTATGCTATTATGGTAAATGACATGAACGGAAACTGGTTTGTTCTATTATTAGTGTTAGTTAGAGCTGACCATTGGACTCTGATGTAGGATGTGCCTTTGTATCAACAGGAAATGGACGATACTCGACACTGTATGTTTTGAATGGGAACATTTTTTTTTTGTTATTCCGAATGAACTGTGCAGTTTCAATGGAAGTTGATTGTCAATCAGGCTGTCTTGTGAGGGATGCTAAAATATTGATGTTAGTTCGTTCTTCTTCACACCAGTCAGATTTGCTGCAGGTTGTTGATGGGATGTAAATCTGTCTTCAATTATGTCCACACCTTAGATGTCTTCCAAACTTGACTAATGCCGAACAATATAATAGACTTTGTGTTACAGAGTTTTGTAATCAATGTTCGAACTTAACATCCTGCTTGACAATGGTATAAGGATCTGTAGTGAAACATGGCTATTACAATATATTAAAGAAGTTGTTATCCATAAATTCTGTCGACTTTCTCATCCGTCAACTTTTAAGAAATGTATCAAACAACTAAGGTCTTCCAACTTAGATGAAATGGGTTTAACTATCTGTCATTTTATCACTGCTGATATGATGCTGTTGGAGTAGTTTTATAAGAACTATTTCAAGCATTCCTAAACAATTTGGAAAGAGTATATTTTGAAAGAACATGTGGATTGTGTTTGCTCCAAGAGATAGATGTTATTTAAGGACAGCCAACTGTCATAATTCAGAAATTGAAATTTTCACTACCAGTTTACCTTAAAAATGATCTGTTACAGAGTTGCCATCAACTTAATTGTGAAAGTGCTTGTCTCCAAGGAAATGGCACTAATCCTTTCTGAACTTAAGTTAATGTTGATGTTATGTTGATTTTATCATACAAATAGCTTATTTGAACATGATATTTATCGATGTAAAAGGGTCACTGTGTATCTCAAGCATGATTCACAGAACACATTGAATACAATGAATACTGAATACAGTTGTAGTCTTTGTCCCCTCAAGACCTGTGAAGATCCAGGTTAGAATAGGTCTTCAGCAACCCATACTTGCCGTAAAAGGTGACTATGCTTGTCGTAAGAGGCGACTAACGGGATCAGGTGGTCAGGCTAGCTGACTTGGTTGATGCATGTCATTGTATCCCAATTGTATGGATCGATGCTCATGTTGTCAATCTCTGATTGTCTTTTCCCGACTCGTGTATTTACAGACCGCCATTAAACAACAAACAAACAAACCAACTTTTTCCCTTTGAAATTACCCCTATTGTATACATCACATTACCCTTTCATAGCACCTATGATAAAAAGAACTTTCAGATTTATTTGGATTCCTACCTGTAGAAAAGAGACCTTTTATTAAAATAGGAAGGTGGGGTTTTTTAAACGGAGAGTCACTTGTTTTTCTCATGGGTCAAAATGGGTCTCTGGAATTCTGAAACTTTGAACGTGACTAGTCGTTTTTGTTTTTCTGTTTCATGGACTCGAGCCTTGTTTCAGAAATAAGAGTCCTAGTCTATCAAATGTGTTTGTAGGTAAACTGGTAGTATACTGTCTCCTGACACACCAGTCAATATGCATCATATGCTGGCTTGGATTGAACAAAGTAGGTAGGACCGATGAAACATATGGGGCAGTATTGATGCAGTGACATTATTGTCAGTGAGCATGTTCTCCCAGCAATAAATCACCATGTTAAGTGATTTGCCTGTATTATGACACAGTTATTATGTGCTGAGACCGTGTTTACAACACCAGTTGTTTCCTTTATATAATATATTTTTCTTTCGGAATATATTTCCATACTTTAGCACACATTCTTTCACAGAGTAAATATGCAACAATAACATCTTTGCAGTTGTTTTTAAATAACCTCGATGGAACAGAATACATTTCAGTATTTTAATCTGCATCCTTGTCACTGAGCAACAGCAGGATAGTGAAATTGTTGAACTTTTGATGATATTGATGTACCAAGACAATGTGGTTAATACGTTTTTTTATATCGGTTTAAAAAGGATAATCCGTGATATCAAGTAGAATGAAGTTGTCCGAGATGGCAAAATATACATTTCCTGAGTAATAATTAACACTCTTTTAGTATAAGTCATTGATCTGCTTCATGTGAAGATGGAGAGTGAAGTATCTGGGGAAGTAGACACATGAACCCATTAGTATGGTGAGAGCTGGAGTCGGTGATGAGCACTGACAGCAAGGTGAGATTCCAGCCTCTGTGTGGGAGGAGGTAAACAGATGCCCAACTCATGGCCAGTACCACCTGGGGCAGAATGGGAGAGAGAGAGTTGGTCAAACATGCTGCAGCTTCAGCCAACGACCATCCTGAAAAAAACCCTGGGGGCAGGGCAGGGTGATGGGAAGGATGGGTGATGTGATGATCATATACAGCAATAGTTCATTTGTGGTTTAATGCAGCATTCGTGATTGTGGTCTGTAAATAATCAAATCTGGACCAGACAATCCAGTGATTGACATAATGAGTATCCATCTATGCATTTTGGATACGGCTTTGTCAGTGGGTCTAACCTGGATTCTAAACCCGGATTCTAGCCCTGATCTCCAAGGCCTAGATTGGGTGATGGGAGGGTGGAAATGATCAAATTCTGAAATAACCAAGCTAGGAATTCTGCGAAAGCCCAACAGTAGAGTGACAGAAGGGGAGGTGGGTAGTTTGGTAGGGTAGTGGGTGCAGCAATTGACTTGTTTGGAGAGATAAGAGTTGATGGAATGGAAGGGTTGTGGGATGGAATTGAAGGGTAGCGGAAAGATCAAACTGGTTAGGGTGATCAGGGTTAGAGCTTAACACTAGCCTGCTAGCCCGGGGCTAGTACAAATTCCTGTAGGCAAGTACAAATTTCCCAATTTCCTCTTTGTTTTAACATTACAAGGACATTCTATTTTTACCCGGGCTAGTAAAGCTTTTGAGTTAGTTCTAACCCTGGTGATGACAGGTTGTTGGTGGTATGGGAGGGTAGCAGAGTAATCATATGCAGCAATTGTTTTAACTTAAGTCCAGATACCTTCTTGGGTAGAGTGATGGGGGGAAGGGTGGGTTTTGGTTGGTAAAACGA